TGCATTTATGAAAATTCTTAGGAAGTTTCAAACAATTTCATCTACTAGTTTGATTGTTGGAATGAGATATAGCAAGACTTGCGTTGGCTACTAAGAAAGTGAGTAGCTGGTGGTCATCGGGTTAAATAGTCAAGCAGAGTAAAATCAAAAGGAAGGACTGTTAAAAAGCAAATCCAAACCTGTGATAAATGACATTTAAATGAACAAAACAAGCCCAAACAAAATTAAATTGAAAATGCTGCATAAATTAAAAGGATCCCCAGGGTACAGGCTATAATGTGGGGTATAAAATGTGCCTTTCCACAACTGTCTACAGGCAGTGAAGGGTGATATAGATGTGGGACATTCTGGCCTTGAGCACCCATATCTTGCTCTCCTAACTTGTATTTCTTTTGATGATTTTTATATGAGTTTTTATGAATTTCTTCATGTGAGACTGGCGCAACGAGGTTAAGACTGATAGATGCTGCATCCCCACCGCAATGTGGGCCCTACTTCCGCAGTCTCCTCCAAAACTCAGGGCACATTTTATATCCCAAATTATAGCCTGTACTCTGGGGATCCTTTTAATTTATGCAGCATCTTTAATTTAGTTTTGTTTTTTTGTTTGGGCTTGTTTTGTTCAATTATATATCTGAGTGTGTGAAGAAGCTTGCAACTACATATTACAAATATGTATGTATCATATTACATAATTAACAAAAATACAAAGCTTTCAATGGACAGAAACTTCTATTGTATTGTATTTTGGTGGTCTTTCTTAGATATTTCTTTTAATTTGGGATCCTTGAGATATTTGAATCTTTAATGATATCACACAAATATATACATCATATACATAAAAAAAAAAGTTTGATTACATGACTTATGATATTGTTGAATCATTTATGCTTTTTACAAGGGAACTTCAATATAACAAAAAATAGAAACCAATTTTTTACTTTTGTTTGACAGTAACATTACACATGTGCAGCTCACAGCTTTGATAATGTCTTGTGTTAGAAAGAACAACTAAAATGAGCATAGTGTTTGTACATGATTGGCTATAACAAGATTACTAGGACCAGACCATGAAAACAATCTTATATTATTCATCACACTAATGACTGTCTCTGCTGGTTTACAATACTTTTTACCAACTCACATTTTTTGTTGTAATAGCATGTGATTGGAGGAAAAGAGCCAGGATACAAAGATGGTAATTTTCTTCAGGCCAAATTTAGATCACCTCAAGGTATTGTGTGGAAAAATCCAAGCATCGTATATGTTGCTGACACCGAGAATCACCTTATTCGAGAGGTTTGAGCTAATAACTTAATAACTGTATTAATTTTATTTTATATATTTTAAGTTATAAAGGAAGGTTTTACAAAGTTAACATTTTATTCCCATAAATTATAGATGTTTTATCAGAAATGTTAGGCCCTTTGGCTTCTATAGCTTTGCCAGTTATAATGCTTAATCTATAACTTTTAAAGTGTTCACTGCATAAATAAGTACCATTTCAGAGAATCTTTTGTCTCATTGTCCAGCCAGACTCATAAGTTCAAGTATGTATGTACTTGTAAACGATTTCATGCTTTGGAAATAAGAAGCATTATTTTGAAATTTCCTGACAAAAAAAAAATTTTATAGTTCAGAGGTTAGTTTAAGTAGTCCATAGTAGTTGATAACAAATTATGTTAAAGAAAAATAATTATTGAAAATATTGTAGAATATTACTTTTAAAATTTTAGAAGTCTATTGTTTTGTTCATTCATAGATTAACATTTCATTGAGAGTGGTTACAACTATTGCTGGAACTGGCTATCAAGGAACCGATAAGGTTGGTGGAAAGCAAAATAAGCAGCAGCCAATCAGTTCTCCCTGGGACTTGTGTCTTGGATGTAGTATAGGTAAAGTACAATTTTTTTTGTAGTTTTATTAACCCTCTTTCAACAAACAGATCAAAATTTAAAGAACTTTATTATCATTGTCAGTAAAATTGGCATCAAAACATAGTTTATGATTCAAATTTTGTTATTATGCATGTTTTAATTTCTTTTTTCAAAATGCCAAATATGCTTTTCTGTGTCTCATATGTCTTCTTGTCTTATTGCTCAGTTGATATTTCATTATGCTTACCATACTATGTCTACTGTGATTAGCAAATTAGAAAATCAAACTTCAGGCGTTTACAAGCTAGAACACAAAATAAGAACCTTCCACTTTTTTGATTTGCTGAAATATTAATATATTTTGCAAACCTACAAGAGTAGCCTTGCCCAGTACTCTATTCTTATAAAACCTCTTGTCTACATAAGCCTACTTCTTTTAAGTATATGATTATAACCAATAGAAAGAGCACATTCCAAGCTACCTACATCTGACAGTCATTTGTAATTGGCTTGAAGGTAAAATTTATATATTACTGGAAATTTTGAAGTCTGCTGAGTAAGTTTAGTTTGAAAGCCAGATAAATTAAAGTAACCTTATGTATACTAGTATAATAATTTTATAATTTTTTGGTTTTCAAAAATGTACCTTTGAATTCTACAAAAGTTAATTTGTCTTTCCCATTCACTTGAAGGAATAAATGAGGGTTACAGCGAGGCTTAGCAAGTACAAAGTGCAAGTACAAATCAGTTTTGTAACATCATAAGTACTAAAAATTATTGTTTTTGTCTGTATTTTTTATTTATTGTGTTATCTTTTACAAAAAATTGCTAAAAATTAAGAATTTCTAAGTAAATTCTATATATAGATGTTCATGATCAGTTAAACTTTTTGTACACCTATATTGCTAAATTCTGACCACTTGAGGAGGATAATGAAGATCTAAAAACCTGCCAGATTTATTGGATTGGTCTGTACTTTGTACAGAGCTATATCATAAACATTTTCTTACACTTTTATTAGTTTAGACAATTTTTGTTGAAATCACTGTACTATAAACAAACCAATAAATTCTCTCCCACTATGTTCTCTTAGCTGAGATTATAATAAACTTTGTGAAAGAGTTCTACTAATTACGACACAAAAGCTTATTTGCTACCAATGGTGTTGTATTACTGTGTCGTGTAAACAGTATACTAGCAGGAGCCTTGATTCACTGCTTTATGATCGACATGTTTCTGCTTCAGCAGTTAACAGAAAGATAAACATAGGAAATAGATGTGAATAGATCAGAAGTAGAAGCTCTCAAGGGAAGTACCTTGGAACTCTGTGGTCAATACTAGAAGGACAGAACAGTACTACTCACTTTATTTCACATTTTTCAACCTTTAAAATTTTATGGGGCTACAAAGGTGGTCAAATTGACTTAACGTTCTGTAGAGTTAGGGTACAGAAAAGAACAGATAAAATATAAAATTTTTCTGAAAAAAAAAAACGTTTGATATTTATTTAGGAAATTTTAAGGTTTATGCAACATTGACACCATATATTCACAGAACATTTTTTAGTAAAAGTACTTAATTGAAACTTCTGACAAGGTACCTTATTTCTGTTCACATGTATATTTCTATTCTTGTTCAGTGCTGCTTTCTATTTGCAAACAATTTTTTGCATACCATAACCCTTTCACTCATATATACACACCCCTGGATTCACATGGTTTAACTGATTCTTGCATGCAAATTTTCATGTGACAAACCTCCACCAATAGTAGTGCCACATACCCACGTGAGTCATGGGGCTGCCTCCATGCTATTCTATCTATCACTTCTCATTTTGCAGTGCTCATGTTCAGACAATTAGTTTGTGCTCTCTTCAAGTTTTTTTTTGTATCTTCATATCAATTTCTCTCAACAAGTTTGCTATTTAGTATACAAAGTGATATTTGTAATTTATTCTGAAGTGGAATTATTTTATATTTCTACCCAGTTATGGAGCTTAATAATTCATTACAAATTTTATTCTACTTTTTTATTTATTTCTGCCAACACAGTTGTGTTTGGTTATTCATTTTGAATTGTGAATTCAAAATTCTCAGTTACCACTTCAGAGGTTATATCATCTATCAGCACATTTATGCAGGCTTGAGGTGGTGGTCCTCATCTGGGAAATTATCGGCTTTACATCATCAGGAAATTGATCGTCCAATGAGCTGTTCTTTGTCAGGACTCAATTTAAGTTTGGGGCCCACACATTTTGATATATGGACTGCCGACTTTGGAAAGATAAGGCGTTATACTGTTATTGTTTTTGAATATTTTTAATGTTAATAATATTATTATCTAGTTATTTGGGTTCATTTTTGACTCTCCTTTGGATGAAGGTATGTGCATGTCTCACCCTCTACAGGCTCTGATTCAATTTGCCTTAGCTTACCATCAAGTAGATTTGGGTTCAATAACATAAATGTATTTAGAATAGTCAAGGCTCGTAGTCAAGTTCAGGTTTCAAATTAGTGCTTAGTTGTATCCTTTGTCTTATAACATTAGATTAGGCTTAACAAGGGTCTTTGTTATTTTAGGATTACCTGTAATTCATCTTACTGGTATATTGTAAATTAAGTTAACTATATTGTTTTTTTCTTTAAAACATCACATCTTACATGTATGCTATTGTCAATACACACTAACTTAATTTTATAATATAATATCTATTTCATTTCAGTTATTATCTTTTATAATTCCTCATATTAACTTTGATTGTATGGACCCCTGGAACCTGGCTCAGCACAAACTTCTTCCAATATTGTATGTATTATTGTTAGGTTAGGGTTTTTAAATTAGATCTACCGTATTGTTTGGAATATAAGATGCACCTTTATTTTGAAGATAAAGTTTTGGGGGAAAAAAAACTACAGTCGCCTTTGAAAGATTTTTATTGAACAAAAATTCAATTTGACACTTTTTTCATTATTTATTTTTATTATTTAGTATTTATTATTCTAAACACAAAAGAGCTTAAAACATCAAAATAAGAAAATACCATAAATCAAAAAAAGGTTTACTGTTATTTAGTTTGGTTCAAAACCTACAAAATCTTCATTACTTTCACTGTAATGTATTTTTTATTATTTTGGGAGCATTATAAATAGTTATTTTTTTAAAAGAAAAAACTACTATTGTTATAAATAACACATTCAATTGAACTAAACTGTGCATGCCTTTTTAAATATATTTACACATGGTTTGTGTATATTATCATATCAGTTATTCATACCTTCGGTGTATAGGATGCAAGCGGATTTTAACATCAAATTTTGGGGTAAAAAGTGAAATACAGTAAGTGACATACTTTGTCCTGAACAGTTCGATTAGGCTTAACAAGTGTGTTATTTTCAATTTAACTGTAATTCATGATATGGGTAAATTGATAATTAGATTAAATATCTTGTTTCCTTCAGGACTTAACATATTGTACATATGTTTATTTCACTACACACTTAAATTTACATTATATCGACTATTTCATTTTCGCAATTTTTTATCATTTATACTTCTAACAATTAATTTAGTTTGGGAGGATCCCTGGGGGCTGGGGTTATGCCCTACCTTTTCCCAATATTGCTCTCCTTCCTCCTAAAACTGCAGAATCTGCTTAGGATGACCTCGATTTTGTCTGTTTTCATCCACCTTCTTGGGCCTCTACTGCAATATCTGGTAGGCCTACCTCAGCCTTTTTTAGACATGTTTCAAAGTATAATTTTCCTCTCCTTCTCCAGACATTGTTTCATGATGAACATGTTTGTCTCTCTTTTGGGTGAGGGTGCTTGCATGCCTCACACTCCTCAGCTTTTGATTCAGTTTGCCATAGCTTACCATTGGGCATATTTTCTTCATGATTCTATGTACTTAGTATCTGTGTCACCTGTATAATTGATTCTTCCCTGTTTTGACATGTAGTCTCTGATAACAACCAGGTGGGCAATTTCTGCAGGACTGAAAATGCCCTTGGTACACGTTTTTTTTTTTCACCATATGATTTGGTACCAGTTTTGTGCCTTGCCCTTTGAACTTGTTTCGGTTCTGTGTGTCTTTTGTTAGGTGGTCTGCATTTTACCCAACTTTCTCATTTTGGGGGATTTTACTAACGTCACTACTTGGATGTTTGGCTTCGGTTAGCTCCTTCTGATTGGGGGTGATCATAACGTATCTGCTCCTCACACAAGCAGCTCAGGTGGTTGGATTTTCCAGTTGGATAAGTTTTTCCTGTTATCTACCTAACAATCTTGGCTATTTGGGGAGTGTCTTTTTAAACACCCACAATGGTTGGGACTATCCATTCTCCTCCTCAAGTGCATCTGATGTGGCTTCTATGGTACCACTTCTCCCTTTGGGTCTGGCACACTTGCGATTTTTTCAGGAGATGCTGCACGACCCATGGTCTCTTGCTAGGGTTCCTTTGGATTCTCTTCTTAACTTTCCTCTTTCCTTTTTTTATCTATATGCATTGGTGGTTGAACATATCCCCCACGTTGTCTGGATTTGTTCCTCTTCCCTGATGCTCATCCCCAAAGAAAGGAGGCATGAGTCAATCAGCAGGAGACTTAAAGACAATGGTCTATGGATGAAGGGTCTTACCATGTTAACACAATGGCACTTCTGGCAGTCCAATATGCTTTAGTTCATTTCTTCCTCTTTTGTGGATTTGACGAATCATTTTTCCTTCCAACTATTCAATGGTGGTAGCTTATTTCATTTGCCAATTGGGCAATTGTTATTGTTCCCTTTGTGGTAGACAGTGAGTCTTCCTTTTTGAACCCACATACTTGACATGTGTCTCTTGGTGTGATATGTTTCAGTTGCTTTCGTTCTCATTGCAGATTGCCTTTCCAGTCCCATTACACTTTCTCCCAAGGAGTGGCCTCTCAGTCCTCCAATTTTCGGTGACTCTGCCTCCTGTAGGGTACTCCATCACGAGAAGTGTATGATTCCTTTCTAGATTCCAAATTACCTGTTTTGTT